TTTTTTTTTTTTTTTTTTTTTTTTTGGTAGGAATGAGGTCTCACTATGATGCCTAGGCTGCTCTCAAACTACTGGCCTCAAGAGATTCTCACTTCTCAGCCTCCCAAGGTGCTGGGATTATAGGCATGAGTCACCGTGCCTGGCCTTATTCTTCTTAATTACAGATGAGGACACCAAAGCACAGAGAGATTAAATAGTTACTCCACAGCCACATGACTAGTAAATGGGCAAGCCAGGTTTCAACCCAGTTGACTCTCAGATCTCACATTTGACTACATTATTTTCCTCCTATGCCCTAATCCATTGTGTAAACCACCAGTTTTACAGGACCAAAAGGTGTCCCTACTTTAAAGAATCACAAGATGATCACTAAATGCCAACCTGAGACTTCACCATTTTCCAGATCTCAACTTGAGTGCAAAATTCTATGCTATTCCCATTGTTTCCCTGAGAAAACTGGGAAGAAATTTATTTATTTATTTATGAGACAGAGTTTTGCTTTTGTCACCCAGGCTGGAGTGAATTGGCGCGATCTCGGCTCACTGCAACCTCCGCCTCCTGGGTTCTCCAGCTAGGACTCAAGTGCACACCACCATGCCTGGCTAATTTTTGCATTTTTAGTAAAGATGGAGTCTCAACATGTTGGCCAGGCTGGTCTTGAACTCCTGGCCTCAGGTGATCCACCTGCCTTGGCCTCCCAAAGTGCTGGGATTACAGGCATGAGCCACCGTGCCTGGCGAAAACTGGGAATTTAGAAGGAGAAATGAGCACTATTCCTCTTCATCTTGAGCAGTTGCCAGGACTCCCCTTACCCTTGCTGAGAGAATACCAGGAAGCTCCATTGACGATGCCATCTGGGAAGTAATCCCCGCAGTTCCAACCTTGGTACATCCATCCGTGTGCATAGGAGTAGACCTTGGCCAGCTAGAGGAAAAGCAGGCGGAAAATGACCTTGATGATTCCCAACTCAAATGGAAATGCTCCTACTCACAACTAGGGTGAAGCCAAGAGACACTGCTGGGTACACAAACAGTGGATTATTTGCTTTAGTGAAATAAAATAGGATCAGGGATACAGCCAGTGTATGTGTGTGTAAGACTGTGTGTATGTAGGTGAGTATGTGTGAATGCATGTGTATGAATGTGACTGTGTGTCTACGAGAGGGTATGTGTGGTAGACTAGAGTCAGGAGATTTGTATTCTGATTCTGTCACTATCTTGGGGCTGAGTTTTCTCTTGTGCAAAGTGAGGAGTGGCAGTAGATGATACTGAAGGTCCCTTGTTGTTATGCCATTTTCTAGCTGAATTTTGTCAATGAAATCAAGGAGAAAGTAAGATAGGACTTCTCCAGGAAAAGCAATGTGTATTTAGGGGGTGA